TGAGAGCGAGGGGGAGCGGTGAGGGCTGGAAGAGCTAGGAGCTGAACCTGCTGTCGGTGACTGCAGGTGCCTGCAAGGGAGCAGGCCGGTCAGAGAGCTTGTGTGAGGGGCTGAGGGGAGGGCGATCTGGGCCTGGCTTGGGGCAGGAAGGACAGCCCAGCAAGGCCCCATCTCCAGCAGATGGGGACCCAGTGATTCCATTGCGCACGGGGGGCAGACGAGACAGGAATGAAGCACTCTGGGGATCCTACAGGCTGTCCCAGAAGCTACAGGGCCATACAGAGGGTACTCAACCTGCAGGGGCCATCAGGGCAGAAAAATAACCTACCCTAGAGCCTCCCCCGCGGGTGGTGCAAGCCCTGGGGGCTAAACTGTCCTCTCCTGCCAGAGACCCCGCCAGGGTGACCATCACTAGAGGCTGCTGTGAGATGCAACACTGGGTGCCAAGCCTCTACCCATCATGGGAAGCAGGCATCAGCCAGTGCCACTGAGTCAGGCTCTGTCCCAGACTGGAGGCTCCAGACCCTGCCAGGGCTGCTCCACCCCCACTTCCTTAGTGGGAGCTCGAGCACATTGTGAGCTCAGAGACCCCCTGCCCAGCTGGAGGCTGGAAGCCACTTTCCCTCCTGGCCGCCACAGAGCGTGTCAAGTTCACCAGGCCCCAACCAGTCAGAAAGCAGGAGGGAAGAGCCCCCAGGCCTCAGCAGCACCCCTCACCTCTGCAGGACGGGTGTCAGGGAGGGTTTTCAAGGCGTGCAGCTGGTGATAGTACGACATGCTGACACCACTCCCACGACACACTTGTGTACCTTCCGCCCTCAGTAACCCGCAGACCCACGAGTCAGCGTCCCACCCTGCTCACCTCTCCTTGGCCACAGTCAGGCTCGCCCGCCCTAGCTGCAAGGAGCTCGCTGAATCAGTGTGGAGGAAGCTGCAGGCCCCCGTGGTTTGCCAGCACAGGCGCTGAGCAGTGTCAACAGCCTGCAAACAAACCCTACCCCCTCCACTCTGATATGCAGCTGCCGATTTCCTGCCACAAGCAGATGTTGAATTCTGGGTAAGTTCCAGCTCTTCTGAGCGCAACATGCTGCCTGCAAGCAATCATCTGCATTAGCAGGTGAGAGGAGCTGCGGCTCAAACCTCCCCCAACCCTGGGGGGGGTACTGGGGGCCAGACTGGGGATGGAGTGAAACATGGTACCCTGCCCACAAACGGCACCCTGCAGCCACCCAGGGCAGACAGGACACACTTGCTCACAGGGAAGTGGGTCTCCCTCATGCAGACATGAACACTTGGTTCTGCCTGAAGGCTGATGGTTTCACACACAACAGTGAAAGGTATTATAGGGTTTTAAATGACTGCCCATCACCACAGTACCTAAGCGCTGGCCACTGCAGAGACAGCCACGATCCCTGCCCCAAAAAGCTCACGGCACAAAGGAAGGGATGGGACAGAGCGTAGTGACGGCCTGGGCCTGGCAGATCGACGGCTCTGCAAAGACTTTGCGCAGGAACTGCCCCAGCCCCACTGCCCGGCCGAGGACACAAGCAGTCACCTGTGCTGCTACAGTGCAGGTGTCAAAGGTGCATCACGGCAAGCCAGGGTCATATGGGAACCTTAACAGTGGAATTTCCTGACTTCTGCCTGGCTTGGCTCTCAGCTTCCTTCACCAAAGGGGTGAGTAGAGGAATGGGGGGACGCATGGAAATCCACCAGACTGGACCCGATGCTGAGACACCCCAGTATGATCACTGTGCGTGCTGCACCCATTCCAGCCTGAGCCAATCTCCACACGAAGGGGCACTCAGCCCCCCAGGTAGCGCGGGCAGCATCAGAACCAAACCCCACCCGGCGCCCGTTTCAGGCAGCGCGGGGGAAGTCTGAGGGCAGGGACTGCGTCCGCGTGTACATGCAGCCTCTAGCCCAGTGGGTCACTGGGCACCGTAGTGAACAAGAGTGAGAACGGATCTCTGCGACACACTGACAGCACCTCGAATTCACAACAGCTCGGCAGCACCCCCTCTCGCCCCAAGGGACACTTTGCCATCTGCGGAGTTCACTCTCCCCACCTGTGGTGGGGACGCCACAGACGAAGCCAGAAAACCACTCTCATCGGGGAAGTGGGGGTGGATAAACCAATTCTGCAGAGTTTAAGCTTTCATGAAAGTTTGTTTCTAGCCTTCCAGTGTGACTTTGCTATGGGTCAGGGCTGGGAGGCCGCAGGCAGGCAGCTCCGCCTTCTCTGCATCTCAGAGCTTCCGGAGCAGCTGAGAGGAAAATGAACAAGAGAGTTTGGTTTCTCAGCTACTGTGGTGGCAGGGACACTGGCACCCCAAGTTCCAGGGCTACCAGGGAGCTCTCAGCTGTGTATATACACACACATTATATATATATATATATATATACATATATACACACACATACACACACACACACACACACACACACACACACACACTACTTACTTTT